TTATAAAATATTTAATTTTCTTCCAGATTTTTTAAAGTGATTATAACCCATTGATGTATGTATTACTAGTTTTGAATTCTAGGACAAACTAAGAACCTCACACTTTGATGAACTTGAAAGTAACACAAAACAATTCACTTACAATTAATTATGCAAATAATTTCACTAGTATGCACATATTAATGAACTCGAACTCAGATTATTTAAAAACACAATGTTTTGAAAACTAATAACAATATCCAACTAAGTTATACATTAATTTAAAACTTAAGAAGCAAGGAAAATCATGAACCTAACACCACAAATGTCGGGCTATCACAGAAGGAAAGAAAAAACAAAACATCTGTTTGTTTTAAACACTACAAATCAACCCTCCAGTTACAACCTCATGTAGTTAGGGTGTAACTTTTTACAACTCATGTTTTGATTTATTCCCAGCCTCTGAAGTGGTACGTGGCTCAGCTCGGCTACATTTAGCCAATAGCCTATCAAGGTGCTGGTTTCCATGGAAACTTTGTTTTCTTCTTCTGACATTCTTCTTATTTGCCATTTAAATTTCTTCAGTGTAGAACAAAGGAAAATTCATCCAACTCTTTCAACTTTTTGGCAGCAAATAAAACCTTGCAGTGAGAGATTTAGCTTGGAAAAAGACAAATGAGTGGACATAGTAGCCAGAGAAGTATCACATGGGGTTGAACATTGTTAACTTGAAGTGAAGTTAACAAACAATTTCAGCAATCTTTTGAAACCAGCCACTCTATTACGCATTGAATTTGTGTCATAAAAATTGAGAAAATTACCACCAACGATGCTGCAAATTGCCATGAATTCCATTGCTAGGGCAGTTGCTGTTGGAAAATTGTAATTTTCTGTTCAGGATTATGATTTTCAATACCATTTTTGAGAGATATATAGGGGTGTTTTTGAAATACATAAAATTAATTTATCTTTACTGTAATGTAATTAAAAATTACAATACATTTTTATCTTGTAAAATTAGTGTTCTTTCATGTTATTGTTATTGGGACATTGTCAAATTCCTTTTAATTCTTAAGCTCGTAGTTGAGGTAAAAATATTTTCTATTTCGCTGTTGTAGTTCACACTTTTAATGGTCCACTTTAACTAATTTTGCTCTGACCTCTTACGTGCACAGTGTAGCTGCAATCGCATAAACCTAAATTTAAACTCTGAATTTATCTTACTCTTACAGTCTGCCAGGAAGTGTTTCATCTCCTCTAATGATTGACTTTTCAGTACCACAGAACAAGCGGGCACAACCAGTTTTGGTAAGTATTTTAGTAGATGCAGTATTTAACATTAGAAAAGCTGGTAGTACTTGGGTGGTAAAAATATGTAATCGTTTAGCATTCATCTTACACTTAATGAAGAATGCTACTTGGGGTATGGGAAGATGAATCTTATTCAAGCTTATAATTTTGTAAATATTCAAATAAAAAAAGTGTATACATTTTTCGGAATTTTACAGAGGATGCAAAAAAACAAATAATCCAGAGAAGTTGTGGAGCGATAACTGTTTCCACATCTTTTGTTTAATATTTATTATTACAAAATAATGTATTTGTATGAGAAATAAGTTATAAAAACGATTATCTTAATTACAATTAATGGCTTTTATGAGTCAAAATTTTCTTTATTTGATTGGTCAGGAGCCAGGTGTGGCATACAGGCTAGCATGTCCTTACTATGAATCCAAGGATTTAGGGTTTATTGCAAAATGCACTCCACACTTCTGGTCTTTGAGTGCACTATAAGATTTATTGTCAAATTACACTATTTGTTCAGACAATAGCAGCCCAAGAGTTGCTGCTAACGAGCTGTTTTCTTTTCGTCGGTTCAAATTGAGAGACGGCTAACTTTAGATAGCTTTTGTATTGGTCGATATTAGAGGATTGAGTTGTTTTCTGTTGCTTCTTTGCAGTCTGTTGTTGGGATTTGTTAAAACAATTAGTTAATAGTTCTCAAGTGTCCCCTTTTTTTTCAGCTATAACATAACTGCCACTCAGTGTATAGAGTGATAAGTAGTTTATTTGAAAAACAAAAAAAAGTTGTTAAAATTTTATATTTATATATTTTTTTGATTTAACTATATAAAAACTAATATGTATATATGTGTATGTGGTTAATATGTATAGAGTATTGGAAATAATTATGAAAATTGTTTAAAAAAAACAGGCATAAAAGAAAATAGTATGGGAAATGCCACCCCTTTTTTGTGTTATAAAGAAATGTATCAGAATAAAGTCATGTGTTAATAGTACACAGTGATTGGTTGTTGTCCAACCTATCAGAAACAGAGCTACACCAGTACAAAGCAATGGTAGCTCATCAGAGGAGGAAAAATAACTCATGATTCGTCGGAGAGTTTTAGCTAATAACATATTTCTTTTTTTTTATATTAACACTTATATTTTCTTTGTTTTTCTGTGTAATATTCAAAAAAACTATATTTTTGTAGCAAAATGTTCAAAAACTTTGTTATTCCATGGAAACAGGCTAAATAAGTCAAGTCTTCTTATCAAGTGAGACCAGCCACACAGCTAATAGCGACAATCAAATTCTAGGTTTTATAAACAACCAGTGAAAATCATTTTAACAATAGTTTGTAACCAGGAGGACCATGCAAATGTCGCAAGGTCATGGTAATCAAGGGCCAATACAAATTTCATGATTCTATAATTATTCAGCGGTTTTTAAGGATACAAACAATTAAAAGCGAGTTTCATTAAATGACTTGATTAAAACGTGCAACAGTTTTTTTTTAATCTTGTTTTGGAGATTATTTTATAGTTTTGCACTTCGAATAACAGTCAGACTTTGTCTGGCACGATGGTGTTACCAACATTGTTTGCAGCTATGAAAGACCAATGACTCAAATTCACATATAAGTGAGACACCTAAAGTTCTCTTCCTAAGTATTAACTGCAAGCCACCATTGATACAAAGCCCATAGAAGTACAGGCAGTATTACTATGCACAGTAGTATAAGTGCAAATCCAGTCCTGGTTTCAGGACTGCATGAAAAATGTTGTAAAAAAACAAATTTTTAGGTGGTCAAGGATACTCTCTAAGAAGACAAGACTCCAGGTTTTAAAAGAAGTTGTATACAAGACTATGAAGAAGGTACATGAAACTGACACTATTAGTAACAGAAGAGGTTGAGGTAGAAACCGATACTCTCTGGAAGTGATGTTAAGTATCTGAGGGAATGTTGTTTATGGGACAGATCTTGCTGGAAATACAGTTAATAATTGTTATTTCAAGAAGAATAAAACACACATTAGCCCAGTGGATATAAAGTTGCTTGAGAAGAGGTAATCGAACCAAAAACAGAGGGTTCATATAAAAGTTACTAGTGCAACTTTTTCACTTTTCTGTGACAATATGTTGTATCATTAATAAACCTCCAACTGGTTGCTTTTACTCATTGTTTAAATATCACTTTTGTGTTTCCATAATTATGTCTATTACTTTTCTCATTTGTAATTTACATAAACAATTTCTTATCTTATTACAGTCTCGAGGGAAAGCCCTTGTTGATCGAGCCAACAAAACCATAGTAAGTCAGCATTTGTAACACTATATCAGTACATGACTTATACATTTATTTCAGGGAAACTTAAAATGCTGTGTTAATTTAGTTACTGAATTCTACCATTTGCTAGAAAATTTGTTTAAAGAGTACGAATGACCGAATTTGGATTCCTACACAACTGTCTCTTCTAATCCCTATCTAAAACCACAAGTTAAGAATTATTTACTAAATATTAATACCATTTTCTCTATATGGAAATCTTCTAACATCAAATACAATGTTAGGATCCTGTGAGACATCTTACCAATCATTCAGATGTCATTTAGATATCCCAGATAAACTGGATTTCATATTTGTAATAGTGATCGAGAAATTATATTCCATGGCTCATCCATTATGCAAGTTATTAGATCTATGTCTGTTATTAGAATAATTGTTTCACAATAGTTTGTATTTATTTAGTGTAGACGATACACATGACAGGCTTGTGTTATTATTACATACTTTATAGCTAGGTTATTGCGTTACTATGGAGAAGACTGATTTAATGCTTTAATTACAGCTTACATTTGTGTTTTTCCCTTTATATTTTAAAATATTAACATAATAATTGGAATAATGATTTTATTAAACTGTTACTTAATAATAAATAACTTCTCTTTATGATTAAAGTAAAAGTTTTGAGTCATGTTTTACTCATCACAGTGAAGCTATATTTATACAGGATTCGAAGAATATGTAGCATTGTTGCTACTAACTTATTTTTTAGAAACTAAAGTTAACTGGTCTATTCTCATGATATATGGTATAAATATCCTTTGGCCATGATTGTCCTGAAAAGATAATAGTTATGCAATCTTAGTTCTGATACATATCTTACCTCCTCTCACAAGAAGCTTTCTAGACTTTTATTGCCCTCTATTGGTGCAATATTTTGCTCACCACTAGCCTTGTTACTGAACACTAATATGCAAATGGTATAGCCTAGTGCTTGGCATGCCCAGACTATGAATCTGATAATCCATGATTTGTGACCCACTGCTCAAAATTTGGATTCCATACTTTGAGGTCAGAGATGTGGCATAGTTCTTTAAGACAAACATTCTAATTCACTGTTCTGTTAGACAAGTGACATCGAAGAGTTGGTGGTGGGTGTTGTTGACTAAATACTTTCCCTCTAGTTTATCAGTTCAAAATTAGGGATGACTATACACAGATAGCATTTGTGTAGCTCTTCACAAGATTCTGAAATAAACAAAAACAACTATGTTGTTTTGTTCATTGTGCAACCTTCATCTTGGCCTCAGCACAAACTGAAATGACCTTTCACATCTATACATGAATCAGGTGCAATCTGTAAGAACTTTAATATTTTGTTTATTCTGTTACCAAATCATTGATACATTCTTAGCCATTTTATTTCCTTTTTTTACTGTTTTTCTTCTTGTTTCATTAGTATGATTCTAGTCGTGTGATGCAAACTTAGGTATTATTGATCCTTATATTAATATTTGATTAGGGTTAGTATAGAAGCATCACTCAAATCTCATATTTCTTTTTTTCCGTTAAGCATTTCCAAACAAACCCTCTCAACAACTGAAACTTACAGGTAAGATTTTTACAGAAAGGAACAGATATCAGTCATAGAAGATTAACACCAGTGTACATGTGCCAGATGTAGGCAAACAGATATCAGTGTAGTCTCTGTTAAGTACAAGGTACTTCCCCATTATTCCATAAGCTTCAATATACCAGTTTAATAGAATGCCAGTGTGGTGTTAAGAATCAGCTTGTGTACAGCTGTTTTAAACTCATTTTTTATCTAACAATTGTTCATACAGATTGTCCTTAAGAGATCTTAAAAAAAAAAGCCACAGGACTAGATATGGAATAGAGAACTCTCTATCCAATCTTCTGTTCTGCAGTTGTAACAAAATGTATTACACTGTGTTGTTCAAAACCACAACTGATGACACTATATTCTTCAAAACCACAACTGATGACACTAT